AGGAGTTTGGAAGGCTCTATAGACGGCTAGTTTGACCGCGCGGCGGGTTTTCTGAATCACTATGATATCGGGGGGAGTTTGGAAAGACTGGAGGCAGTGTTAAAGATAGCCACGCTTCAGTCGGAAGCTGTGGTAATTCCATTGCCAGATAGTGGTTTGGTGCCTACTGAGGCGTGGCGGGCGTGGGAGAGGTAAAGCCATATTGAGGGATGCACTGTTAGAGGTAGGGTATGGATGGTGGGGGTGGTGGAGGAGTTTAGGACCCCAACTGGGATGAGATGTTGGTGAGTTGGTTTATTTGACTGGTGAGTTGGGCCAATCTGGAGGAGTACTTTGAGACAGCGTTTTCTATCGCCGTACAACGGCTGTAACGTTTTGCTCTAAGGTTTGCAGTCTGGCACTGAAAATGCGAGACATTTCGGTCATTGACGCTGAGTCGGTGTAATTTGTCTACGATTTTGAGGCCATAGTATGATTACTCTACGCTTGACAGACTGGGCGGTGCTGTCAGGTGAGGATATGGCAACTGCAACGGGTTGTGGGGGAGGAGTAGGAGTTGGCGCTGGAGGGGTAACCTTTCTGTTTAAGGAGGGGTCGTAAGTCTGCATTTTCCTTCTAAACGGCAGTGATTTATTGTGTGAGGGTTTGGACCTTTTGCCGTAGAGTTTGGACCTTTTGCCGTAGGGTTTGGACCTTTTGCCGCAGAGAGGGGCAGTGATGAGAGACATCCGACGGGCAAGGAGAATAGCCGGGTCGTGATTGCAGTCGATTAGGTATTGGCTGATGTTCTCCGGTGGACCGTAATCTGGCACATTAAAGATGATTCCGCGTGAGATCTTCGCAGGATTTGTCATATATGTGGCCAGAAAATAGTTCTCTTCGCCCTTCAGAGGGGGTGCTGAGTAGTATAGTTTTGAATGGCATTGATTCGAATTTTATCATCGCGTGCCACGTTGTAATTGGTCTGGGCAGTGTTAAAGACGAAGTCTTGCAGCTTGCCTGTGCTCATCGAGCTTAGGTTGAGGCCACCACGTGCACGGATGATGATCTTGTAGTCGTCAGGGAGTCTTGCGAGCTGCGGCGGGCGCGTCTTGAAGCCAGGCCTTGGCGAGCTGCGGAAAACCGGACGCCAAACGCGCCTCGCCGCTCGACTTGGTCGTTTACGTCGCCATCCGTTGTTGACCCTTGCAAGTTTTTTAGCCCTATGTTTTGCAGAAAGGGAGCTACGCTTTGTAATTTTACAAAAACCAACCTGTGAAATATACCTTTGACACAAAGTTCAGATTGCTATGTGCAGGCGCCAATTTTTATGGCCCATTTTAGATCGAGCCTGGTTATTTCAGTCACCCTATACCTACTGCCAGGTTGGATCACATTGGCATCTTATTAGCCTTCCTTTTCTTCACTTGGCTTTTACTAGTATGCTTTCACAAAAGTAGGAGTGAGGTCCTCGGTCGACTTCGGCGCGAACCTTAGGATGAGAGAAAATGGCAAAATGGCCCGTTTCCCACCTTTCATGTACTTTATGTACCCGTAGATCATTGTGAACACTACGAATTAGTTTTCTCAACCTCTAGGTGGTAGTGGAACGACTGGTTGGCAAGAAGCTATCGAAGGAACAAGCGAAAGTGAGAAACCAGAGCAACCAAGGCGAGCAATGCTGGCGACACGCACGGAGTGACAGCGGATTGGATCTCGGATTGGATTGAAAGTGTCAAAGACAGTTGGTTGTAAATTAGAACGGAGCAGTAACTTGTTACCAGTATAGGGTTGTTGCACAATACCATGGTTCAATGCTGCTACCTCTTCGTGGATCTGATCAAAACCCACTGGAATCCATGTTGGAGGCATTCATTGCTGTTATCCTATGTTTTGTGTCCTTTGGGGCCTTGTCTGCATGGTACTTTGTGCACCCACTCGAGGTTGAAGACAGTCAGTTGCTCTGTGATTGTTTTAGCCGTAAAACTTGGTGTCAACGGAGCCACGGCCAGCAATATTGGTTTTTCTAGAATTCCGGAAATCATTAGGAACCAGGACAAGGCAAGGCTCGAGCAATCGGTTTGCCGACATTATGAATGGCTCCCAACGGACACGCCGGCACAACCTCAACCAGGCGGGTAAAGACAGGAGTAGAACACGGCAAGTCCTGGGCGCTAACATCTCCAGTCCCGAGAGAAAGGGCGAAAAAAGGCAGAGAAATAAAGCAAACAAAAAGTTAGGCGTGTTCGTTTTGCCGCGACAAGTTGAAGTTGCTCGAGCACTTGTCAGGTTTATTTAAATTTATCACTGCGCGACTCCTGTGTTCTTCTGCAAAGACAGAAAATAACAAGGTACAGACTTTACTGGTGATGTTTGGCTGCATCTTGGTGCATATAAAGGCTTCGGCAGCGATAGGGCTCATCGAAATCGCGAACTGGGACCGCCGATCTCCGCTTCTATGTTCCGCCATTTCGAAGCGGCCAAACGCAGGGGACCTTTCGTTTCGGATTATTATGTTAACTCTACACTCTTAAAAAAATAATTAAAAAAGGAATGGACGGGTTCCATTCCTTTTTGGAGAGAATCTGTACTCTTTTTGGAGAGAATCCGGGTTATCGCAAGCTATACTCTCTCTAGGGACCAGGGATATGAAAAATACATGCAAATATGTATCAAAATACAAATACAAAAATACTTCGTCAAAAATGTATTTAATTACGAGTCTAATTACATTTAAAAAAATTGCGGTGGCTTAGCTCGGCTATGCCAGGATATACGTAGCGTGAGCTTAGGCGCATAATATGAGAGGTGCTATCAAGCAGCTCCGGTGCAGCGTCAGACTTGGCTACTGCGCAACGGAGGCACATAGCTGGGCACGCGGCGCCGCCAGTGCGTCTGCCGTGGCTGTGACGTCACTCCTCTGGAATGCGAAGACTGGCGAGGCGAGCGCGGTGGCGGCGGAGCCCGCGGCGACTTGGCCTCCGCCTCGCCAGCTGTGCGCCGTGCGACGTCACTGCTCCTCGCACTTGCGCAGCACGGAGCATGGCTCATTATGCCAGCCACGCGAAACTGCTCAATTTCGGCCAGTGTAGCTCACGCTACAAAAAGCATTTAAATACAACATACAAATACAACCAAATGTATTTGTTCTCTTCCAATTACTTTTCTAAATACATTCCTCAAAAATTTGCGAGAGCGACTTCAGGGCACCTGCAACGGGTTTCTACGTATCTCTACGCACACTCTGGAGTAAGTTTGCGAGGCTCTAGTAACGTAATAGAAATATAATCACAAAAAATGTAATCAGCTTGGACGTAATAGGTGAAAAAGTACAGAGCCTCAAGCAGCTTTTTTTGTCGATTACATGTTGGTATAGACCAACAAAGAACTGAGACGACCAAGACACGGAGCACTAGCTAAAGAATTTTTTATTGTTGCAACTCGCACCAGTTAACGAAAATCTGGACGACACACGCATTTAGAATGTTCCAGGCAAAATTATGGATGGAAATCAGGCTGGAAAGCATCACAAGTTGTCACAGGCGCTTATTTAGCCAGTCTGCCTGTGAACGTCGATTTCATCACTATTCTTGCCCTGGACTAGCACCGTAATCACAAAGTCACTAAACGCTTGTGCTTGATTAAGAGACACTGCATTCGGTGCAGAACGTAGTTTTCTTTCTGCTCTGGACAGTGCCAATAAATTTGAGGGATGTATTTTCGCCCACAAAATTGTATTTAATTACAATTGTATTTGAAATACCCACCTTTTAGTATTTAAATACACACGTCAAATGCATTACCCAATTTGTAATTAAATAGAAATTCAAAATACACAAAGTATTTGAAATACATATTTCAATTACTTGTATTTGAAATACCGCCTATCCCTGCTAGGGATAGGTAATCGTTACCTTTCCACGACTAGTGTATGTTTTACTCTCCCATACGAGTGCTCACTTAACTTTTTTATAGTCACACAAATGGTTTTGCAAGAGTCAGGACTGTCTACAGGTTTTGAATTTCAGAGTTTGGTGCATTATTTTAACTGCCCTTTTTTGCTCCTAAATACAATTGTTTAAGCGACAACCAGTCTGTCGTATGTAAGAAAAAGTGTTGCCTGAACTCTGTACTAAAGAGTTAAGCACGCTCTCCAGGAAGAGTTATTGTAACCTTAGAAGTGGTGCCTGCACTCCGTATTAAAAAGTTTAGTGTGCTCTATAGCAAGAATTAATATTACATAACAGCAAACTTAGCAGTTTATATGATCCCTTCCTGGAGACTGCTTTACTCTTTCATACAGAGTTAGGCAACACTTGAAGTGGGGATTTAATTACTCGCACTAAAGAATTTTGTAGAGTAAGTACAACCCCATTTGGAAGTGTTGCCTAAACTCAGTATTAAACAGTTAAGCACACTTTCCAGGAAGGGTTCACACGAACTCTGCTCAAGTATAGTGTTATGTGCTGAGTGTAAAATCACCCAGTAAAAAGTAACGTAAATGCCTGCTAACAGAATTAGGGGAAGGGAAGTGTACAATTGGCTCCTTGTTAGTCAAACGTTTGCTGAAACAAAAAAAACTCTACTGGCAAGTGGCATTTTTAGCCTGTTGAAGTGCGACCACTGTACTTTTATTTTTGCAGCTGTTGTATCAAATTTCAATACCTCCCTTGATTTCTCTGTAATGTGGAATAGTACTTCTGTCCTTATTATGGGAGCTGCTACATACAACTTGAGACAACTCAAGCACTTTGCAATGAACAGTAGCCCTAAAATCTAAAAGCAGCTATGTATATGTTCACAAGGGGAGGGTTGCATTGGAAATGTGGAAGTGCAGCTGAAAAAGGACATAAAAGAGGGAGCATGAGCCTGTTCGGAGGCCATAGGTTTTCATGAAAAGTCAGCATAGAAAGGATAAAAAAAGTAGAATAGAGCTCAATAAGCCAACACTTTAATGTTAGGACATGGGAAAAAAAGGCAAAAATGGCACACATATTCCCTCTGGTGAACAAGTTTCTTACTTTGTGATGAGATCCAAAGCCAAGGCAGACTTTATATCGTACTTCAAATCAATGAAGTGCCCAATCCGTCCGTCACCTCAAATAAGTGGTTCTCCAACACCGCAGTTATGGCCTTTGAGTCCTCTTTGTCAATTCGCATCACCGGATAGGTCAATCTGTCGTGTCGGTCCTCCTGTGAAGAATGAATGCTTAAATGTAGACTCAGCAGTATGAGAAGGGAGGAAGCAACTCACTAAGTGTAGAAGGGTATGCACTTGGGCTAGTTGGTGATCCATATTTCCGAGGGAAAAAGCGCTAAAAACAATGAACAAGTAGAAGTGTTGTTGGTTTCTGTTACTTTTCCATTGTTTTTAGTCTTTTACCCTCGGATATATAGCTCGCTAAGTGCCCTTAGTTAATAGGAGTGCATTCATTTGTAAGACAAGAGACCATTTGCGAAAATCCCAGGAGCCATTCACAGGATACGTTCCAATAGTTGTCTGGTACTTGTTTTCTTGCCGATTAAACGAGAGTCCGAATCGAACACTTAGGCAGCACTCACTGCTGGCTCACTCAGCCGCAACTACCCACGACTGTTTGTATCCCCTCTGATATGAACATCTAAGAGAAAAATGAACCACATCTCTCTTTTTTTCCTTTGTATGCAGTGGCAGCCATAAGGGGTTGCATTTATTTATGGCAGGGAATCCCCAAGTTTGCATACCCTATTAGTGGCATCGGAAGAAGAGGGCAAGGCAAGGGGGGCAATTGCCTCGCCCTGCCGCTTCTCTCTGACTGACATTTTAAACTATTATAGCAGACAATATGGGAGACAGGGACGGGGTTTAGCTCCCTAGCACATCACCCCTCCACCTTCCAAGCAATACAAACTCAGCTGGCTCCTGCCCATAGCGATGAAAGTCATAGCTCTATATAGACTAGCCTTAGGGGTAGGATGAATGGAAGTTCTTAACTTGAAACTTGAGATCATGTCCGGTTTTCAGTTTTGAAGGCGTGAGGTCGCATCCATGGATAAGGACATAGGGGGGCTCCGAATGCGGCCGAAGCGCCACCGGCTTTCACACCCGAACTCCGACCAGGCAGCGTTAGCTTTATATGAACGGCGGGTGCTACGGCCGGGGACGCCCCGGGCACGTGACGGTTAGTCTCCCCTCTGGCTAGGTCAACGAAGGCCACCGCGTTCGTTGACCTAGCCGCGAACCCCCTCTCAGCAAGGCCCCCCGGACAGCCCGACGCGCACCACGTATGGCTACCTTGGGCCCGACTTCCTTCGTTCACCTAGACACCGGCGCGGCTGCGCCATCGCCCCCAACCCCATCCCGGTGTCCGGCCGACTATCCGCCGACCCTCTTGGTCCACACCGACATACGAAGGGACCAAGCACCCCGCTGGGCCAGGAGTGACAGGCACGAGGAGATCGGGGGGTATGATATTGCCCCCGATCCGCTTAAGGCAGGCCATGGCAGCTAGGGCCACCTCCTCAGCCGTCCGGGAATAGCCCATCGGAAACGCCTTTGAAAACTTCTCCTTCTGCTCTTCGGGAGAGCCAGCCAGGCGGCCTCACCGTCTTCGCCTCCTCGGAATCTGAGGCTCTCCGCCGGAGAGAGCGAGTTGTGATCTTTGGCGACAAGATCCCTGACATTGAACGACAAGGGCAGGATCGGGCAGCCCCCCTCCTGATGTTTCCCCGCCGTCTGCACCAGCCGGAGCAACGGGTCCCAAACGAATGGGGCCCGCGGCGGCGGCTTAGGGCTCCTCTCGACCGCGAGACTCCGACAGTCTCGCTATGACGTCGAGTCTGCTGTACCCACTCGGCCGGGAAGTCTGGTATGTCAACGGTGGGACCGTTGATACATTTAAACAAGTCGAAGGTCCCGACCACCTCAAGTTGATCTCCCTTCCACGTCACTGCCAGACCCCGCTGCGTGGCCACTGCCGACAAGGTCGCGCGAAGACCTTCCTTGGCCTCCCCAATGTCTGGCAGCGTCACGGACCCGCGTTTGCCAGCAAAGAAGTCGTCAACCGAGATATCGGCCAGGACTGGGTCTGGTAGATCCGGAAAGACACGACGCACTCTGTGACACTGTGACACTGAGCACTCTGTGAGTGCCAAAGGCACGAGTTATAGTGGTGGACAAGGCCATAGGGTTAATGAGGCTCGGGTCGGCAACCCAAGCCGCTCTGGCCTCCAGCAGGTCCCTGATGAGCGGGTCCTGCTCTGCCTCAAGTGCCTCGACACGCTTAGCAAACAGATCATCTTCCCATGATCCTTGCAGGTCTATGATGCCAGTCAGATTGTTGGTGCAAAGGGGAGTCAGTGGAAAGCGCCGAGTGCTAATACGCGTGGACTCTACCAGACGGTGCCGGACAGCCCACATGACAGTAGCAAACGGGTCATCGTCAAGCCTGGCCGCATCTCGGCCCTCCACTGTTCTAAGTTCGACGGCATTCCCCTTTCCACGGAGAATGAGGCCATACTGCCTTTTGAGAAGAGATTTGAAAGAGAACATGGGAGTTCTTAAAAACTTATTCAATGTCCTCTCTCTGAGACTCAACCACGAACGGATAAGAACAAAGCAGCCTCACGAGCAACAACTGTTCTGAACCGTAATTCGCGTAGATGTACGACGCTACCTCAAGTGCGTCCAGGATTTCTCTGGAACGTCCAGGATTTCTCCGACCCTTCTCCCACAGATCAGATGTCTTCGATATCGGAGGCCCCCAATTTTTAGATTGGGGCCTCCGACATCGGAGACATTCGGGGGATATCGGGGGGCATTCGTCCAATTGGTATACAATATGTTAGGAACGTTCTTAATATTTAATTAGTTTGAGCAACCTATTGTATTTCAATGCTGACTACCGTATATCATAGTTTATTTCACAACTTTAGAAGTTAGCAAATGCAGGTAACCTCTAAGTTTGGGGACACCATTGATTAAATATTGTAATTACAGCTCTACATGAAGCTAATTTACTATAAAGTACCATTAAACCTTAATAATATAAAAAAAACTGTACCTACTGAAATTCACAAACTCAAAAAAAAAAGAAGCAAAATAAATATAACAGTAGCCCAACCAAGAACATACAGCTTCGATTGGTCAGTGTTAAAAAAATTGAAAAAAGTGCCACATTCCAAAACAAAGCACGCATCGTGGCGAGCCCAAGCTGTGCCATAACTGAAACTACTAGATAGCTAGTGAGCTGCTCACATGCACCACTCCATCATGCATGTGCACAATAGATGTGGGCTCTGAATTTCTGATTTGCATGTGGCATGGACTGGTTGCACCACTCTGAAGGCAGCTGTGGGCACGCGCATTATGTGCCAGAGCGCATCCTTCAGTATGTCCAGTAATGCTGAGGTGAAGTTTGCCCAATAAGTTGAGTTTCTACATGGCTTCATCTGTTGAAAACTGCTCTGCCAGCATTTTGTGATGCTTTGTGTGTGTTCATCAAATTGAAGATTATATATTTATGTCAGAACCGCTGGAGCCTCCTGCTAAACAGGCGTGTTAGTTTTATGAAGGCAACAAGGGCGGCAGTGGCTCCCCGCCCCTGTCTACTCCCCCATCGGAAAGCAAAGAAAGTTCTGTTGAGAGCTGGGGTCTTAAGAGATCGGCAGAAGTTCCATACCATAATTCCTCGACAAGACAAGTTGCGAAGTCCTTCAAGATCATGAGGGTTTTGATTAGCTCCATGGCAGGAGCTGCAAGAACAGCAGTTTCCCTTGTTTAGTGAGCAAAAATTATCTCCAGCAGTCACACTGTAATCAATAAATTGTTCATATGCAGTAAGGTTCAAGGTTCAAGGTGTTTAATGGCACAACTTCCACACAGCCGAGTGCCTGAGGCAGCCAAAAGGCAGAAGCCCATACAACCAAGTGCTGGCTGCTTCCTCTCTTTCTCCCCAGCTGGAACAAGTTTCTGCACTCTTGGCATTCCTAACTAAGGAGACAATCAGGTCTTTATATGACTTTGATATGGAAACTTGTCATCAGCCCACATAAAAAAAAAAAACTGCAGCTTCCAGCTGGAAATGAAGATTTCCACCCGGATTTTCGGCTACATTATACAGCAGCAGCTGGAAATCCCGTTAACAGCTGGAAATGGATGCTGCTCATCCTGGGAATCAGAAATTCCAGCTTGGAAGTACATGATCCACCTGGAAGTTTCCCAGCTAGAGGAGGAAAAATCTAATTTCCAGCAAGAAGTTTGTCCATTTCTGGGTGGAAACAGCCTGGAACCCGGCTGGTAAAATAGATTTCCAGCTCCAGCCGCAGTCGATTTCCGGTTCCATAACACAGCCTGGACTGGAAGCATTTCTATGTGGGAGTGTAAGATGGCGTGCAAAACGATGACACTTGAAGAGGAGCAGCCAGACGCTGAATCCTTGTATCCCTCACCATGGTCGCTGAGCAGGTGGCACCATGGTTACAACTGATCCTCGGCCACAGCAGTAACGGTATGACCTAGGACGGTACCCTGGACTAAAGGGTGTTCTGCTGCGGTTCGGATCCAGCTGTGCGGGAAATTGGCACCTTAGAGATTTCTTTTTCTAGGACAGGGTTTATGCATGTTGAAGCATGGCATCAGAAGTTGAGTTGTATCAAGAGCGTTGAGAGTAAGTGCTCGGAGAGCTTGTCCAGTTAACTTCTTGTCCCAGCATCTCAGCATGACTGTAATCTGCTTCAACATTAAAAATAAGTCTGTAGGTAAGTAGCTAAACATTCGGATGGTTACTAATCTGCTGCACCTCTTCTTTTTGTGGAGTGCATGACGACACTCAGCTTAAGGGGGGACACTACCCAGAAAAAACAATTTCTGCAAAAAAAAGTTGATTTTGAAAAATGCCCTATTTACATCCACCAACATCTAGAGAGTATTCCCAGAAAGTTTCATTAGTTTACACTGCATAGTTAATTTTTTATAAATTATTTTCGGTCCACCAATGCTAAAGAGAAGGTAGAGGTTGGAGTACCTTGAACACATTTTTCTCCGTTCCACTTTTTGGCATAAATTTCACTTTAGGAAAACTATCGTTTTGTTAATACGCAACTTGGATTCATTTCTACGAGTTTTTCTGGGGTGAAATTTAAAGGGGAAGATAACTATGAGCTTGTATTTTTTATTTTTGTCATTTTTCATGCTCAAAAACTAAAAATTTGGACAAAGGATGGAAATCTAAAAAACTGTATTGTGTTTATGTGGCTTTTTTGTCATGAAAGATGG